GCTCGTTCACAAGAAAGCGCCCCTAGCTCTCAACTCAAAGGCGAGACTATGTACGAGTCCGACCATGTCGAAGACCTAAAACCTTCAAACAACTACGACAACATGAGTGAAGCCGAACTCATGAAATTGGAGAAACAGGCTGTGAGGAGGTTGGATTTCGCTATTTTGCCGATGATGACAATGTTCTATCTTCTTTCCTTCTTGGTATGGCAATCCTCGAATCTCTTCCCGCCTTGACTGATGCTAACTCCATTGGCTTAGGACCGTGCAAACATCGGTATGAAATGGTCGCAGCTAATCCTACGTCGTTCGTTCCTCAAGCTTTTGTCTTTTTTTTTTTTTTAGGAAACGCACGCGTAGCCGGGTTGCAGAAAGATCTAGGCATGTCTGATTGGCAGTATCAAGTTTGTGTCACGATCCTTTATGTGTACGTGCCATTCTGCCCCTCCCCGTCGTTTCCTTGAAAATTTAATACTCGTTGTTGTCTTTTTTTTTCTTTTTCTTTTAGACCTTACATCTGTGCCGAACTTCCCTCGAATCTTTTGCTTCGGAAGATTGGACCTCGATATCTCATGCCGACGTTGCTCACGCTATGGGGTCTTATGGTTGCTCTACAAGGTAGGCGGAGGATCCGCTCAGATCGATTTGAATATGATATGAATCATTTCACGCATAGGTCTCGTAACCTCCTACCCTGGTTTGGTAACCGCTAGAGCGTTCCTCGGTCTTGTTGAGGGTCCGATGTTCCCCGGTGTTGTGCTTTACCTCTCGTCCTTCTACACTCGATCCGAGTTAGCATTTCGGTAAGATGAGTGCTAGAACTAATCTTGTAAAGTCAACTCACTACCTTTAGGGTCGCTGTCTTCTTTTCGTCAGCTTCGGTACGTTTAGTTTTTTTCATTTCAATATTTCACTTAGTGGCGATTCCGTATCTGACGGAGATCGTACCTATCTACTGCAACAATCTAACAATCCATTGCAGTTATCTGGCGCGTTTTCTGGCTTACTTGCTGCCGCTATCATCAACATGGACGGAATCAGTGGTAGACCGGGATGGGCTTGGATTTTTATTTTGGTAAGTAATCCGAAAAGCTGTCAGTTTGTTTCTCATCATATAATATTGTCTCGCTCTCGCAGGAAGGAATATTCAGCTCTCTGGTGGGAATCTTGGGCTTTTTCATCATCCCTTCAACTCCCCAAGAGCTCAAGTTCATGACAGCTGAAATGAGAGAGTAAGCAAGCAGTTCTAGATCTTGCTCGTACTAAAATTGTTCACTATTTTTTTGATTACAGAGTACTCATTCGACGACTGGAGAGAGACAAACCTTCCTCTAGCACACATGAAGATCATTTTTCCTTCAAGGAGGTTTTCCGTTCGCTTAGATCCCCGCATGTCTTGATCGTGTTTGCGATTTTTTATATGGAGGGTACGGTGTTATACGGACAAGCACTTTTCCTTCCCTCGATCGTGAACCAACTTGGGTTCAGTGCGAATAAGACGCAGTTGCTTAGTGTGGGGCCTTTTGCTGGGGGGTTCATTGGTAAGTTGTCTCTCCCCTATGAATTATTTGTGGAATACCCATTGAACTATCTGGTTCATATTCTTATTCACTGACTGTGGTTGACCCATATAGTCACCTTGACCGCCTCTATGTTTTCTGACCGCATTAAATCTCGCGCGATCCCGACAATGTTGATATCCATCCTGGGTGTTATTGGGTTTTCCATTTATCTCAGTATGTCTTATCATTGCTAGAGTTTTCTCTCTCATGATGTTGATTTATATTACTTTTTTTTCCCAACTTAGGCTCTGATGAAAAGTACACTCGTTATGGCTCTTTGTTCTTTACGGTCCCTGGGGTCTATGCAGCCGTTCCACCGGTGTCTGCATGGATGTCTAATAATTCTGAGCCTCATTATCGGAGAGCGACGAGTATTGCTCTTGGGTTTGTTGCAACGAACGCAGTGGGTGCATTCATTCTCATTCGTGTTTCAGGGTTTTCATCACCTTCGTTGTACAGGGAGGTATCACAAGTACCTGGCTATTCCCTACAAGCGAATCACCACGATACAAAAAGACGACGATTATTAATCTGACTTTGTGCGCCATCCCCCCTAATCTACCTCTTTTACGCTTGACATTCACGGGCAATTCTCATGAACGATCTTATATTACAGCACTATTCTAATCATCGTAGGATCAGGCATCAACGCCCTGCTTCTTAATCATATGAACAAACAAAAAATCAAGAAGAGAGAAGAGATTCTCAAGCCGTACAATATCGATTCTGATGATGAGAAGGGGACGAATGCGAAGAGAGCTTGGGTAGAATTGGGAGATAGGCACCCGGATTTCAAGTATTCGTTGTAAAGGTGATCGATCGTTCATTACGGTTGGTCAAACTAATGTATCAGTGACGGGTGAACGATGGGGTTTGGGTTAAAAGCCAAAGGAAGACTATTCAGCAGATTCTTCTTCACGACACGACCTAGTTTTGTATCACTACACTATCTTTACTATTGTCATCTCTTCGGATGGATGAAGGTTGACCCCAACTCTGACCCGTTCAAGAATGCAATCCCAACATAAAACCATTCCCCATTTCATCTATCCCTTCCTCTGGAGGAACGAAGCTAGCTGAACCAGTATAATACGCGTGTCCCTCAACTTCGACAATGTAGTAGTATCTTCCGTCTTTCTCAATCCGCTCAACAGCTCTGCCTCGGAACCCATTCCCAGGGTATTGTTTAGTGAGAAACGACTCGTATGTACACCATTCGCCCATTTTGAGTTTGTTCCTTTCGATAGACAAAGGAACATGTGCGCTGACGCAGGATCCGGTGGGTGATCTGTCGATTTGCGAGCCCGAGTGGGAGTGGGAGTGAGAGTGGGAGTGGGAGTGGGAGTCGGTCCCGAAAAAGCAAATCCATGAGATGGTCTTGGAGTTTTCTGCAGGATTTTGACTTTGACTAGGGGGTGTAGACTTGGACCCAGATCCAGACTCGGGTGGTTCAAACTCGGATTTAAATCCAGAATCGGAATCGGAATCAGAATCGATAATCGTAATTCCATATAAAAACCCCAGGTCTGGTTCGGAAGGATGAGTGAAAGCTTTCTTTGCTTCGGGAGATTGGTTGAGCAAGTACCGAAGAATACTTGCTGCCTCTTCGAGTTCTCCAAGTGAGTTGGAAGGGTTGAGAGAAGAAGGTTCGAAGCCGAGTTCGGAGGAGGATACGAGAGCGTAGAAAGCTCCTCCGTATGATATGTCTAGTTTGATAATGATATTAGTATTGGTATTGTCAATATTGATATTGAAATCATCATCATCATTATCATACTGCGATTGTGGATGGGTATTATTTCGGAGTTTGAGTTTGAGCTTTGGCCATGCCATCTCTCGAGGAACGGAGATTGTGATTCCTCCTCGAGAGGATGGGACGAAACATTGGATGGATTTAAACCGGATAGGCTTCAAGTAAGTGGCATTTGGGATCCTAGTCATATTCGACTCGGAAGTGGAATTGGAATTGGAATTGGAGTTGGAATCACCGGGAGTAGTACTGATAATAGGCAGAGGCACAGTAACAGTCACAACACCACAAGGAGCATGAATTCTGAGGGTTGTGACTCGTATGGGTGTCTTATCGTTGTCGTTGTCGTTGTCGTTGGTTAGTTGTTCAAGAAGACAAGGTCGTTGGGGAAAGATATCCAAATCATGAGTGTCGATGAGGAACCGGCCTAGAGCGATAGTGGCATGGCCGCACATCGTGGAGTAGCCCTCTGAGAGAAATCATTTTCATTATTATTATTATTATTAGGAAACGGAAAATGGAAAGCGAAGAAGGTACATGGAGCGCACGCAGGGGAAAGAAGACTCCGGAATGGAGGGGTTATCACAATCATGACACTAACCATTATGACAAAACAAAACCCCGATATCAGCCTCACCAGTCCTCGTCAGCTCTGTTTCTTTGATGAGGATGGCACCGTACATTCCTTGATGACCTCTTGGTTCGAGCATCAGCCTGAATCAACGTGAGATTGAGAAAGTGTTAGGTTACTAGGTCAAGGTATTAGAGGTAATAATAAATGCGAACCATTTCCTAACCCTATCGACATCGGGATTCTCACTAGCATATCGGCGTTTGTCGAGTAAAGTCTCTCCTTTGAGATCTGGGAAACCAGAGATGATGATCCTTGTGGGCTGATGATAACTCCCGAGGGAAGTGAAAGGATAACTTGGATTTGGATCTATAGAGCTCTTACCTCTCCGGAAGTATGAAGGTCTACTGTTTTGATAATGGATGTTTGGAATAGAATCATGGTTTATTCGGGATGAAGGTTGACCCTAACTCTGACCCATTCAAGAACGCAAAGATACGTGTGAACTATTCATGGAAATGTGTGAAATCCCGTTATGTGTGGGCTAATAAACAAGTGTTGGGAATTCAACCAGGCTGAAGAATGCATGGGCCGGGAGGGAGATATTGTGTTTTGAGCTTGCTCAGAGAGTAACAGGAAGATATCCAGTGGAGATGAGGCCGCCTGAACAGATCATGAGTCAGTAAACATTTACTCAGCTAATACATAATCAGCAAAAGCCAGGACTGTGTCCAGCTCATGATGGCGCTATTGTCTTCCCGACAACTTACAGCTTGAGCAGAACTACAAGAAACAGTATATAATGGGGGAGCAAGTAACACCAACAAGGGTGAGTTGAGTTGAGTTGCGTGAGTAAGTGAGTGCCAAGTTGAGTGAGTGAGTGAGTAAAGTTGAAAATTTAACATAACAACAGCAACACCGTTTAGGGTCTCGACTCAGTCGATCGCGTCGGTTAAGTAGAAACAAAACAAAAAACAAAACAAAAAAGATACATACTGTATGTAAATAAAAACATAAATCCTCTGCAGACTCCAGAGTCTGGGTGGAATAATAATAATAATAATAATAACAATAATAATAATAATTTTAATAATAATAATAATAATAATATAAGTAACTCCCTGGCTGGGAGTCGAACCCAGCTTTCGCGCGGTGAGAGAGCACACACATGACAGGCGCGTGTACTAACCGATATACTACCAGGGATGTGGAGGGGTTGCAATATGTGAGATGATATGCGATGAAAGAAGAGAAGGGAGAGAGAGAAGAAAGAGAGAAGAAAGAGAGAAGAGAAGAGAGAAGGGGGGGTACGATGAATTCTTGTCGTACTGATCTCCGTGCTGATCTCCTACTCATCTTCCGTACTCCGTACACTCCGTACACTCCGTACACTCCGTTAATGATGATGATGATGGTGATGATGATGAAAGTAAGGATTCGAATTTCGTAAGTATCGGATGATCAGCGGATAGGTTGATAGATAGATATCAATGATGTTGATCTAGGGATAGGGATAAAGAGCAGAGCTAATTACATACTTAATGGAGCTGATTAATGGAGCTGTTGGACGTTGAGCGGTGGGCGTTGAACGCGTTGGACGTTGAGCGCTGTACTTCATGTATAAACCATACGTAACCTGTCCTCTCGAGTCTAGAATCTAGACGCGACGGAGGTACAAGCTCAAGGCCTAACCCTAGATAAAAGTAAAAGTAAAAGTAAAAGTACAGTAAGACCCCAAGCGCGCGCTTAAGACGACGACAAATAATTCCACGGGGGAACAAACAACCCGGACACAATATTGTATCGTTTAGTTCACCGTTAACAACAACGTCCACAACAACGTCCACATCGACGTCCACATCGACAACGACATCGACATCCATTGTAGATTGGTATTGGGATTGATACTGGGATTGGGATTCGAATTGAGGATCAAGGTGAATGTATAACCCAACGATTAGTTCGACACAAAGCCAATACCAAAACCAAAGTACAACACAAAGTACAAACCAAAACCAGAGCTCAATCCAAAACCCAAACCAAAGCACGAGCCAAAGCTCAAGTCCAATTCAAACAATCCAAAGCCCAAACCCAAACCCAAACCCAAGCACAAAGTGGGAATCCCGTCGCCAAAGCTTCATCTCACCCACCAAGCTCGAAGAGTTTCGAGCGACGACGCCTACGCATAATTTTACGTTGAAGCCGAGGGAAGGTGGAGGAGGAGTTATGGGAGGAGGGGGAATTGGAGGAGGAGGAATTGGAATTGGAATTGGAGTTGGAGTTGGAGGAGGGGAGAAAACGATGTCGATTGCGCCTTCGTCGGATCGAGCGCATCCTAGGGTTATAGGGAACGGAAGTGGGAGTGGGGAGAACAACGCACAGACACAGACCCAAGCTATAGTAGGACATACCAGGACTTCGTCGTTTTTTTCATTCGGGAGACATAAACAGCAGAACTCGAATTCGAATTCGATTTCGGATTTGGGACAACGACGAGTACATCCTGGACCAGTACCACTACAACTACCATCAGATTCAAACTCAAACTCAAACTCAAGCCCAACGCCAACGCCCACCACACACCCCTCTGCTTCCTCTGCCCCCTCAGCTCTACCTGCTTCTTCTTCTGCTTCAGCTCCACCCGCCCCACCCCCTCTACACCCCGAAATCCGGTCAATAGTCTCCCTCACCGTCGCACACGCGCATAAAATCTACTTTTCTGGTCCCCTCCTCCGTCGAATCGAGCGGGAGGCGAATGGTTCGAAACCTCATTCTCATCCTCAGACTCATCCTCAGCCTCAGCCTGTGATGAATTCTGCTTCGTCCGTCCCTACCTCTGCTCCTACTACTGCTAGTGCTCCTGCTACTGCTAGTGTTCCTGCCGATGCTGTCCCTGACAACAGCTGGGAACAAGTCTGGGCGCAGCTCGGGGGAACGACGTTGAGTGTGTGGGGGATGAAGGAGATTGAGGAGGCGTCAAGGGAAGGAAGGGAGGTGCCGCCTTCGTATGTGAATATAACGGATGGGTTTGTACAGGTTCTTGGATCTGTTACTATACCTGCCCAACAAGGGCAAGGTCAATCTCAAGCATCTCAAGCACGCAAATACACGAACGTCCTAACCCTAAACACCGCCGGCTCGAATCTAATCCTATTCGCGTGTCCGAACACGCAGAGTCTCATCAGCTGGGCAGCGGCGTTGAGGTTGAGTGCATGGGAGAAGAGCAGGTTGGAAGAGATCTACACGGCTCATTTGTGTAGGATTACGCTTGTGGCGAGGGATGTACCGAGTACGCTTGTGAGAGGGAGGTTGGAGGGGTGGGTGAGGATTAGGATTGCGGGTCAGACGGATTGGAAGTTGGTTTGGATGGTTGTGGTTGAGCCGGGGGGTATGGTTCCAACGTGTGTTTTTGGTTTTATTTTATTGATGTTATTGTTGTATAGACGACCTCGGGAGAGTGAATTCCAACAATCCAATATCCCCACCTTCGTCTGCGGGTACGACGATGACGGGGTTCAAGAAGAAACGAATGTCGGCGTTGTTTTATAGGGAGTCGGATAATCATGGTAAAGACAAAGACAAAGACAAAGAAAAAGATAAACGGAATAATGCCAAAGGAGAAGGACCGATGGTGTTGATATACCTCTCACCGAAAACGAAGGATAGGAAGAAACCGTTGTTAACGTTGACTGGTGTTTCTCAGGTCTGTGGAATTCAATCGCAATTTACGCAAATGATAATAACAATATTAATCTGTTTATTTGTTTACTCAACAGGCATTCGCAGTATACCCCGAACGACCAGAACTCATCACCCGTTCCACATTGATAAAACTCGAAGCGTTGTTCGGACAGGAAGAAAGCGCGGGGAGTATGAGGGGGAGAGAAGGATGGGTGCTGGTTATGCCTCAGTTGACGGGGAAGGACGAACAACAAGGGGGAGTAGGGGGAGGGTCAGGAGGGGGAGGGTTAAGTCAAGCAGGGGAAATGTTAAAATGGGTGATAGCATTCCACGATGCGTTTAGGTTATACGGAAGACCCCAAGCGTGGAATTGGGATCCAAGAGATCCGAAAGGGTTGATGTTTGGGTATCCTGTTGGTCCAGCGAAAGATGTGAGTTTTGTTTTTTGTTTGTTTTGTTTGAATGATAGAGTTACTTATCCACGTAGCTGTTGTTTCTTGACCGTGAACATGCGGAGGCGCTGGATCCAAGAGATGATAGGACGTCGTCGATTAGGTCGAGGTTGATAGGGATATTGGAGGAAAGGATGAATGAGATGGGGATGGGGATGGGGGGTGTGTTAAGTGGGAATGGAAATGGAAATGGGGATGAGATGAATGGGAACGGTCGACCAACTAGTTCAAGTTCTACCGCATCCCAATCCAACGCCCTCCCACAACTCCCCCCTCTCTCGTTTGATTCCGATAACCCCACGTCCACGTCTACTCCCATCGAAAAACCATTGTTGACGCCGATAACGGAGCGGAGCTCGGTGTATACGAATTCGAATTCGTATATGGGTTTGGAGAGGTCTGGGACGGTGGGGAGTGTAGGCGGAGGCGGAGGCGGAGGCGGGGGAGGAGGGAAGAGGAATTCGGGGTTTGGGTTTATTGGACCGTCGCCTGTGATTGAGGAGAGTGAGGGGGGGATGACGCCGTTGGAAGGGGAAGGGGAAACAGAACGAGACCGAGAACGAGGAGGAGGAGGAGGGGAAGGGGAAGGGGGAGAAGGGACATCGCCAAAGGTTCCAGAGAAGGATCTGGATCTGGATCTTCGTTTGGGGGTGTTTGGGGACTCGGGTACGAGGGTTGGGAAAGTGGGGGATATTGCAACTGCAACTGCAATTTCTTCTTCTTCTCCTTCTTCTTCTCCTTCTTCATTCCCTTCTTCATTCCCTTCTTCGCCCCCTCCCCCACATTCCCCGCATTCTCATTCTCCTCGACAACCACCAGTGATGAATAGATCCCATTCACCCGCGTCCATACTTACCTCGCCGCATTCTGTGGATTTGGATCATTGGGATCAGAGGAGGGGTACGCCGACTACCAGTACGAGTACGGCGAGTACGCCTGGTAAACCTACTGGGATGACTCCTCAAGTATCATTGTCTTCTTCATCATCGAGAGAAGTGGGAGAAATAGGAGAAATAGGAGAAAGAGATGGATCATCGATACTGACTAGTCCGTATTCGCCTTTGAACTCGTTCGCGCCGTTGTATTCACCGAGGTTTGGGGTTGATGATGGGGAAGGGGAAGGGGAAGGGGAGAAACGACAAGGACAAGGACAACAACAACAACATCATCCAGGCGGTGATTATCATGGATTTAGATCCAACACTGATACGGGTACGACGACTACGAGCACAAGTACGAGTACGAGCAGTGCAGAGGATTTAAGGAATAGGAATAGGTTTGAGCTCGCTGTGGTTAACAGCCCGCATAGCACTCAAAACCCACTAAACCAAATTCCTACTACTATTCCTACTACTCCCCCTGGGATGGCGAGGAAAGGTACACCAATGGCGTTCATAGAACACCCTACTCTTCCTTCCCCTCCCCCTTCTTCTCTTGCTCGTTCCCCTCCACCACCTCCCCCTCCTCGTTCCCCCTCCTTCTCTCCCTCCTCCTCCCCAGTCGTCCCAACCCCAACCCCAACCCCAACAACCCGAATGGCACTGAACGGCCCAGACCGAAGTTCAAGTTCAGGTTTAGGTCTAGGGTTAGGCTTGAGCCGTAAACCATCCGGTGCACGTGCGCCTCAGGCTCCGCGTTTCACACACGTACACGTGGCTGCTTCCAATTCCAACAACATCCAAGGCATCCAAGGTGGGTTAGGGTTCCTCCGAAGGAGGGGGTGTGTTTTCTCCCTCGTCTGTTTCTTGTTCTTCGTTTTCTGCGTTTTCTGCGTTTTCTGCGTTTTCAACTCATAACTTACAACTTACAACGTTTACCTTTTGGCTTCTCTAGCTCCTGGAGAACGAGGACGAGGACTTGGAGGGTTAGAAGAAGAAGAAGACGAACAGGAAGGATTGGGAGATAGGTTGAATTTGAACGAGTTTAACGCTGTTGAGCGAGAGAGGACACTTCCAGGTCAAGCGGCGAGACAAGAGTCTGTGTCGACTCTGAGCGAGTATAGTGCGGATACGTTGAGTAATACGGATAACGTTAACGTCAACACCAACCTCAACACCAAACCCAACACCAACT